AAATTGTAAATTGTAAAGGGAAAAACAACACCCATTTCATCGTTATTTACTGCTTGTATGTTTATCTCAGCAGTAAACCTCATTTTTTCATTCTGATGAAATTACTGTTTTATTAGAAATGTTAACAAATTTGTATTTTAAATAAACATTTAAACTACACTACACATTGACAAATCAATCTAATTTCTTAATAATTAAAAATTAAACTTGCCTCATAGCTTCTACAATACAAGAATAAGTATACAAATTATAAAAGATGTATAAAATATTGCATAATTAATTCAACATATAACAAGGGAAAATTATTATACATTATAAAGTGTAGAACCTTTTACAGCAAAATTTATTTATTTAGCATCCCTTTGTTTCCAGTTACAGTAAAATGAAAGAAGTATCAACTGAATCCATGTAAACTACAGAGGGCTAACTTCACAACTGAGTTATTCTAATAACTGAAATATTTTACACTTAACAACATACATTTTTTGGTTTAAATAAATATTATATATTTGTGTATTATATATTTGTGAGGTCTCACCACAAAATGAGCTCATGGTTAGAAATTCAAAAACTGAGTTCACATTACACCTGGGCAGACCACATCATAAGCTTTCACATGCTCCCTGAATGGCTTCCCTACTATAAGTAAATCCAGAGATGTGAGCACCCAAAGTTTAGGTGCATAAGAACCACTTCTTGAGAAAATTGGCCTCAAAAATAAACTAACCCGTACAAACAATATGACCAAAATTACAGAACAGGTGCAGAGAACACTGCCCTGACAAGAAAATTCACTCACAAAGCATACCATCACAAAATATAAGTACAAAGTTATTCAAAAACATTAAAATCAAAATCCTGTAAAAAAAAAAAAAAAAAAAAAAACTGTAAAAAAAAAAAAAAAAAAAAAAAAACCGACCCCGGCCCGCCCTGGCGAATATCTCAACACGACCTCACCAACGATGCGTCTCATTTCGTGGTGAGACCTCACATTTGAATTGTTCAGTATTGCATAAGGAAGACCACAATAAATAAACACAAACATTAAGCAAATATAAATAATAATCTTCAATATCTCAAGTTAACATATTATAATCTTCAATATCTCAAGTTAACATATTACTCTACTGTTTACTGAATCTTTTGGGTATCATTTATTTATCAATTGTATTTTAACACATGCATTTCATTGTTGTATTTAAAGTTTCAAATAAAATAACCGATACAAATAATAATTTAATTGCTTCTTCTAAGTTTCCCTTCTTTAAATGCAAGATAACAGTACTAAATGAATTGATTTGAAGATTTCTGTGCTAATGTACATAATGTACTCATACAATGTTTAGTATACCTTCAATCTTATTAGAACACTATATTTCAAGATCAATTTTCATTTTATATTTTTGAATATTCTACTATATTGTTTTCTTTTGCTATTACTTTTTGTTAGTTAACCACAGTAGTATACCCAATTTTTTTTTTTTTTTTTTTTTTTTGTTTTATATTTTTAAATATTATACTATATTGTTTGTTTTTTTTACTGTTACTTACTGTTTGTTAATTACCGCAGCAGTGAACCCTATTTTGCTTTGCTTCAATCGCAATAGAACTTTCTAATTCAGGGTATAAATGTCTTTTACCCCTTATTTTCTTTTTTTTTTTCTTCTTTTTTTTTTTTTTTCTTTTTATTTTTTAATAATTATTACTTAATAGTCACACATAATGTTACTCCATTTGTCAGTCCGGTTATGAAGTGAATTGTTTGCCATTGAAATTTCCTTTTCGATTGCTTTTTCAAGTCGAAGCCTTCGTTTTTGATATGGTTTTCGAAATTTCGATATGGTTTTGTAGTCAGATTTGCGAGAATAACTTCAGCTACCCGTATTTCTCGACTGAGATGTCAGTGGGAGCTGTAATTTGTTTGGCAAGGAGATGGTGCTGCCCTTAATGCTTATTAAGGGAATTTACGCCCACAAACCTTGTAGTTATTAATATTTTGGTTATAATAGAAAAAGTTTATTTTTTTGGTGACGTCACACTTTCAATATTGATAGCATGCATACGTCATAAGCTAGATTACGTCACCTTTCCCTTGCAAGGCAAACTTTTCCGGCGTGCTTTTTTCATGTATAAACAAACACCACTGCATGCTTTGCACATGGATGGATTGCCTAACTAAGGCTACAAGAGCCGAATTGTTATTCTTAGCTTTTTTTTATTTTCTTATTTTATTTCTTTCAAAAGTGTACTTTCTATCACATATAATTGCAGTGTCTACTTAAGCCTAGGCCTAGCTAGTCTTATTATGCTCATCGTACACAGTACATCAGTAGGCTGCCGCCACCCTCACCCCCACGCTACAGTACAGACGTTTGCTAGGCAACAGAACGTGATTGCACCTTCCTTCCCAGGTGTTAATGGGACATTTGCATATTGTTAGCTAACCAGTTGTGTGTATTCCTTTGTGAAAATGAGTACCGCGGCGTACTCATTTTCACAAAGCATTTGCATCGCCCTCTTGGAAAAACGAAACTTCGAAATAATTGTCTCCATATCTTCGCTAATTAATCACCGTAATTTAGCTTACACTTATGCATGGAGGGAGCACTTAAAATGTACGATAACATATGGAAACGTTTTTGCTACTTTTTATCGTTTGCTAGTCCAGCTATCACGAAAGCAGCGAACTGAGGTCAAATCAACCCCGCCGTACAAGTAGTTTGGATCGACCAATTAAAATCATTGGGTTTGTTTCATTTCTATTATGGGGTTAAAATATTCAAAATTCAATTTGCACAGTCAATATTCTTTTGTTAAAACTTGTATTTGAACACATATTTAACAGTACACATAGTACAATGTAAAGTATACTAATGTTGAGATCTCTCTTCCCCCTAGTCCAGCTTTCGTGTTGGCGGGATTGGCTTAGCCCTACGCTACACGTACCCCTACGGAAATTTTTAAACGGTCCAGACAATAAATTGCATTTTTTTGCAGAAATATAGCCTAATTGCTGCAATTATCTTGTCTTGGGACATTTGTTTTTTTAATAAAGGTAATAAAAGCACACAAAAAATCCAACTGATAATTAAATTAGGCCAAATTACACGAAAAAGAAGAAAAGAAAAAAGAAGTCAAACATTGCAAACACAGTCAAGCAAACAGAAGTATGACGTCATACCAGTGAATCGGACTATCACGCTTGAGAGATTTTTTGACCCCATGAGAGGAAATCGTGGATTGGATGGATTTTATATTTTCTTATTTTTCGATAAAACTACCCAACCAATCATACTAAGTTTTATATCAGCTTCAAGCTTATTATATATAAATCCAACTGATAATTAAATTAGGCCAAATTACACGAAAAAGAAGAAAAGAAAAAAGAAGTCAAACATTGCAAACACAGTCAAGCAAACAGAAGTATGACGTCATACCAGTGAATCGGACTATCACGCTTGAGAGATTTTTTGACCCCATGAGAGGAAATCGTGGATTGGATGGATTTTATATTTTCTTATTTTTCGATAAAACTACCCAACCAATCATACTAAGTTTTATATCAGCTTCAAGCTTATTATATTCCCTCCACGAATCCACTTGGGCCAATTCGAACAAAGCAATTATAGTCTGCGAGTGAGGGAGTAAGAAACGAGCTCGGAACAGCCAAAAAACCTCAAATTTCTTGAAATTCTCTATCTAAATCGGCGTGAGGAGCTGTTATAAATCGGCGTATTCCGACAAAACTGTAGGGTTTTTTTCATTTTTTCTTCACGAAATGGTAGATTAGTATTTCTTACAACATAATCCGCTTGAGCCATTACAAGAAAATCACAGATTTTGTACCAAAAATGTACTTTTGTGAAAAAAATCCAGTTTTCTCCAATGGTTAAGGCGACCTTGGAGAAAAAATGATACAACGTTTCCATAAGCATTTCACACCCGACAAACCCCGAACTTTATTCATGCATTACATAGGCCTAAATAGTTTCCCATCTTCATGTATGTACTCCAACATCACTGGCGCATGGTAACAACCAACTGACTGCAGACCATTTCCGGTCACACATTACTCTCCATAACGCAGCACCCCCAAGTTCCGTCACCTCTGGGTGGACACCCAGATATTTTCCACAAATCAAAGATAACGTCCAAAATCCAAAATACCCGCCAAAATTACAATGGGAGATATACAGCATTTATTTGGTTTTTGTCAATTTTGTTTAGTAAAATTGTCACCGCAGACCAAGACTTTTCAAGATCAATCAAGGCCCACCTGGTCCAAGAATTTGACACAATTATATCTAAGATTGCCAACAAAATAAGAAATGGCAACAAACAATTTTAATTATTAGAGAATTGTAGCATATTGTTTGGTTATTTCAGAATTTTTTTTAGTGGATTTGTCATCTGGGACATAAAGACGTCAAGATCAATCAAACAGTGAGCTTAGTGAGTTGTTATCTTAAGTAATGAGTTATCTCTAGCAAACACAATGTCTTAATACTATGCACAAATAAACAGTTTGTAATGAGAAATCAGACAACGCACGTTTCCACCTTATGCCGACTGCATGGGGATGGCTTCTAAACAAATCGTATATTGATCAAAATCCAGAATATAAACAGAAAATGGAAAATTAAAAATGGTAAAACAGAGCATAATGTTAAGATCACAATATGGGACAGAAGTATAAAATACTTAATATGATATATCATAATGAAGTCTGTAGCATAGTCGAAAATATATAATATGCTAAATATAAATAGTAGTAGGAGTGAACAATAAATATAGGCTAGCTTAGTTACTATCTTTTATGAATGTGTATTCATTTGCAAATTCCATGTCTTTACTCAGGCCTTGTCTTTTTTCAGGCCTTTAAGGCCGGTTTATACTTCAACGATAACGATAAAAAAAAGTTGAAAGTAATTGTTCATATAGAAAATAAAAGAAATAAGAGAAGTTTTTACACTAGAACGATTCGATAACGATTTATCAGTAATGCGATAACAAAATATTTTGACAAAACAAATCAGATGACGTCATAATCATGGGAAAACATTAAAATCGTAGTAGTAGCAACGATTTTATCGTTTTTCCATGATTATGACGTCATCTGATTTGATTTGTTTAAAAAAAATGTTGTTATTGTATACACGATAAATCGTTATCGAATCGTTCTAGTGTAAAAAAAACCTCTCTTATTTCTTTTGTTTTCTATATCAACAATCGCTTTTTTGCTTCTTTATCGTTATCGTTATCGTTGAAGTATAAACAGGCCTTTATTGTGGGTTTCTGCACAACGCCTATAGTTTTCTTTGGTAGATTTAAAAATAATAAATCGCATGTCGTTAGCATTATGGTTAGGGGGACTGAAATGAGCTGCGACTGATTTGCTCATGTCTTTACGTCTTATAGTGCATTTATTATTATTAAGTCTCTCCCTGATTTTGGTACCTGTTTCACCTATGCAATTACCCTGGTTACACTAAATACAATAAATGAAGTAAGTAACGTTAGAAGCATGGCAGTCTAGATTCTCGGGATGTATGATTTTCTTGGATCCTGGGTATTTTAAATCTATGCTACGTTTAATTAGGCCTATATGACATAATTGGCATCTGCTGTGTTTGCAGAGTTCATTTCCTATGTCGGTTGAGTGGTTGTCGGTTGAGTAGTTTAGATGATGCTATGAGAGATTTAAGATGTGGGGGTTGTCTGCGTGCGATTGAGGGTGGTGTGTCATAAAGTTGAGCTATGAGTGGGTCTGATTTGAGGGTTTTTTAATCTGTATTAATGGCATCTGTAAGTGGTTAGTATATTGATCGAAATTCAGAATATTATACAGAAAATGGAAAATTGAAATTATGTTAAAACAGAGAATTATTAAGATCACAATGGAACAAAAGTATGAAATATGTAATATAATATATAAATATACATATTGAATCCTGTAGCATAGTCTAATCAATATAATATGATAAACATAAATAATTGTAGGATTGAATAATGTCTTTGCCAGTGATCACTCAGTTCTTAAGATAACAATTTACTAAGCTCACTGTTTACTATTTTTGTTTATTTTTCATGAAGTTTAGTACCGCCCATACATTGTTGATAGGCCAATTGGCTTTCAGCAACTTGTACAACTTGTACTAAGTATCTCAATCACTTACGCGGATAAAGTCCTCAGGAGTGGACGAAATATTCGTGTTAAATAAATTATGTTCCAAAAATACGTCAATTGACTTCTGTATTTTATCTGTCATCGCCTATTATATATAATATAACTGTTTATATATATTATATATATTTGTATAGGCCTACTTTCAAATTACAAATTCTTAAAGAAATTTGATGCGGACCAGAGCTATTCCTATGAATCTAAATTCGAAAGTATATGTAACAATTTATCTGAACTTACTAAACGTGATACTTTGAAGTTAATACGTACCTGCCATCATCCTGGAATTTTTTTTATACCATTCCCGAACTTCATAAATATTGTCTGCACTTATCAAACTAAAACTTGATAATCCAGAACTCCCTCAGGATAAATCCACTATATTGGACTTAGCTAAGAATGTAAACATCTTCTTCCGGGGTAGACCTATAGTCTCTTCGATAGGTGCATTTACAGATCATTTATTGCCCCCGTTACCCAACAATCCCATCCTTGTCACCATTGACGTATCTTATTTCTAACATGCATCACTGTGACGGCTTAGAATCATTCTTCGCCTCACAAACACTCACATTAGATAAATTAAATCACATATTGTGGCCACCACTAACTTCATTCTAACACACAATTTACCTTTAACTTGATAATCCAGAACTCCCTCAGGATAAATCCACTATATTTGACTTAGCTAAGAATGTAAACATCTTCTTCCGGGGTAGACCTATAGTCTCTTCGATAGGTGCATTTACAGATCATTTATTGCCCCCGTTACCCAACAATCCCATCCTTGTCACCATTGACGTATCTTATTTCTAACATTCATCAGTGTGACGGCTTAAAATCATTCCTCACCTCACAAACACTCACATTAGATAAATTCAATCACATATTGTGGCCACCACTAACTTCATTCTAACACACAATTTACCTTTAACAGTTCTCATTATCTTCAAATAAAAGGCAGATAAATGGGAACAAATGTCTCCTAACTACGCTAATACATTCATGGCAGAACTTGCAAAAAAACCTTATCTACCTCAAACCGGCTAGTTACCACCGCCGGTACATAGATGTCATTTGAATCATATGGCCACATGGTGCCGATACACTTAAACACTTTGAAGCCCAAGCCAATTCCATTCACCCTCATATGAAATTTACACTAGAACACTCGCATGCATCTCCTTTTTTAGACGTTTCATCTCTTAACAACAAAAACCAAATCACCACGGCTCTCTACACTAAACCTGCCGACAGTCATGCCTTTCTTAAATTCGGCAGCCATCACCCACATTACCTTTATCTGTAACGTTTATGTTCCAACTCAATAGATTATGAACACTATGTTTGTAATTTATTTTTTTGAAGACTGGTTATCTCAATGATCTAATTAAGTGCCAAATTCACAAAGCTTCAATACACTCCCGTTCACACTTACTTATTTACAAACCCAAAACTTCATCCGAACGCATTCCCCTCACTTTCGAATTTCACCCTTCCACTATGACCGTCAATAGCACCATTAAACCTTCCCTTTCTCAAACACATATAGAGCCCTAGTTACAGCGCTATTTATGTTCAACTAATGTAAGCATAAAACATCCCAATAAATGATTCAATTGTTTTACCTAATAATAAGTGATATATAATAATCATACTGTATTTCAGTCAAATCAAACATATATTGTATCTACATAAATCTTACATTCTACTTCTTTTTTTTAAGAACCTGCAATACCGAATAAAATACACATTTTGACTCGTACTTCTCAAAGTGTCACCTTAGCGTGGGAAAAGGCAGAGGGAATATTTGACTACTATACCACAAAGTTAGTTTCATCTAAGCATTATCTGCTTGCCAACTATAGCCCAGAAGTGACGACAGTCGAAGGACGGAACTTGGATCCTTTCCTTGGATACGATTTCTATATAAGCACCGTCTCTGGACAATTGCTAAGTGAGGCTCGCCACATACACTTCAATACAAAAGAAGGACGTAAGCATTAACAATTATTGATATAGAAGGAAAACATAATTATAGACAAATGTAGATGCTTGTATGTTGGGTAGATATAAAGAAAGGAATAAGGAGGAAAATATGAAGGTATATAGCATGATGAAAATGATTGAATTTTTAGAATTATCATTGTTTTTATGTACACATACTTTCAAAAAATAAAAATAACAATAACAGTAAGACCGTCAATAGTAATTGTTAATAAATCAGGATAGCCGTTAACACTGTTAAATTGGTAAACACAGTGTGTTTTCAAACGTACTAAGTATTCAGTACATTTCCACGTCAGGTAGGGCAAAATTACACCTACACATAGTAAGACCGTCAAGTTATTCAAATACTAGTGCTGGTCAACTATGCATACGCCAAAAGAGTAAAAAATATAAGTTGCTTAATGGGATTTTTATTTCCAACCCCAGTAGCCCGGTTAAGGTTTATCATTTTCGGAGGTCGCGTCTAGTCTTTTAAATGCTTAAAACTAGGACCTATCATGGTCATTTCTATTTGAGGTGCATCAAAAACTAATGCTGTATTCAACTACGCATGCGCAAAGGAGTTTAAATGATCAGTTGCTATAATCAGATTTGAATTTCCATGTAAGCATTAGTGGCCCAGTTTGTTAGGGATATTGATGGTTTACACTCCCATGTTATTCCTCTTACTTTACATACACTACGGCACTCTGACTCTAACCTGATGACACTATCTATCTAACTATCAAAACATATATCAGTTGTTTAATTATCAGTTACATGTGTAATCGAATAATATAAATTAAAAGATTATGAGGCTTAAAATAACTATGAAAACATTATTTTTAGCAAATAAAATTAAGTTATTGTAACACAACAATAAATACAAATTATATTAAAATGAATTTAAAGTAGACGAATCTCAAAATGCAAGATCTGACAATTAGTTGTTCATGTTAAAGAGTAACTTGTATATCTTTGCTCAAATAACGATTGTTCTATTTTTTCTCTCAAAAACAATTGATCATGTTCAAATTTAGGTCCAGGTCAAGTCTCAGAGTTCAAATTGATGCCTGTAAACCCAACAAAAATCAGTGTTCAATTCAAACAACCTTCTAACTCCAATGGAAAAATACTTGCTTATAGAATTTCATACCAGGGATCTGCTTCAAACGTTAGTATATTTTTATAATGTTACGAAATATATACA